CTCTGTACAGAGATTGATGTGACTGTGGGGGGAGGGGACATTAGAGTGTAAGCTCCTCTGTACAGAGACTGATGTGACTATGGGGGGAGGGGACATTAGAGTGTAAGCTCCTCTGTACAGAGACTGATGTGACTGTGGGGGGGGGGACACATTAAGAGTGTCAGCTCTCCGGTCGGGACTATAGGCCTCAGTGTGGTTGCACAGCGCCTCCTGGTGGCCGGAAGGTGAAGGAACAATAGTCAGGGGGACGCTGGTACTGAATGTGATCATTGTCCTGATTTATCACCCATGTGCCATCCACGGGGAGCAGTGTGGCGGTCAATGTACTAGATATAGGGGGTCTCAGCTGTGGCCCCTGACATCACCAAGGGGGCCCACATAATATTAAGTGTATGTAATGCTCCAGGAACCCATGCTACAGATGCAATGAAAGACCGGGGACATGTAACACGGGACTGCTAAAGGTGATGGCCATTACTTCCACTTTACACCACAATGGTTCCACTCAAACTACAGACTTCTGTGGCCCAGGGGCCACCCACTGGGTTGTGCAGGACCGCATGGGGCGGGGGGTTGTCAGGATGGCAGGCAGATGATTGCGTGTTGCATTGTTTTGTCCGCAGTTGGTGTCGCAGGAAGAGTATTCCCGCATACTGGAGCGCGGCCTGGTGGTGGCGGAGAGCAGGAGCCAGAACAGTTACCACTGCCGCACTGCGGACTGCAAGGGGTGGTGCATCTACGAGGACTCCGTCAATGAGTTCTTCTGCCCCATCTGCGGAGCCGAGAATTGCCTGACCTGCAAGGTAAGTGTCATGGGCAGGCGGGGCTACCACCACCGACGGCTCTTCATGATAGGTGGGCCTGCCCCTGCTGAGCTACAACCATTGACTACACAGCGAGGGGGTGGAGCTACAACCACTGACTACATAGCGAGGGGGTGGAGCTACAACCACTGACTACACAGCAAGGGGGTGGAGCTACAACCACTGACTACACAGCGAGGGGGTGGAGCTACAACCACTGACTACACAGAGAGGGGGTGGAGCTACAACCGCTGACTACACAGATAGAAGGGTGGAGCTACAACCACTGACTACACAGATAGGAGGGTGGAGCTACAACCGCTGACTACACAGATAGAAGGGGGGAGCTACAACCACTGACTACACAGATAGGAGGGTGGAGCTACAACCACTGACTACACAGATAGGAGGGTGGAGCTACAACCACTGACTACACAGGAGGGTGGAGCTACAACCACTGACTGCTCAGGGGTGGAGCTGCTACAACTGTCTGTAGTGGGAATGGGGAGCTCCTACCACTGACTGCTCGGGGGTGGAGCCATATGCCCTTATTGCTCAGCAGGTGGGCCTATCACCACTGATTGCCCTGGAGTTGGAGATATCTCCAAAGACTGCTCGGGGGTGGCACTATAGCTACTGACTGCTAACGGGGTGGAGTTATTACCACTCACTGCCCAGGGCATGGGGCTATTACAACTGACTGCTTGGGGGTTGGATTTATCACCATGAACTGATTTTGGGAGTTATCACCAAAGACTACTTGTGTGTGGAACTATGACCACTGGCTGCTCTGGGGTGGGGCTATTAATGCTCATTGCCCTGGGCATGGGGCTATTACAACTGTGACTGCTCAGAAGTTGGAGATATCACTAAATGCTCAGGGTTGGAGCTATTACCACTGACCGGGGGGTTGAGTTATCACCAAAGAGTGCAGGGGGGGGTGGAACTTTAACCACTGGCTGCTCAGGGGCGGGGCTATTAACACTCACTGCCCAGGGCATGGGGCTATTACAACTGACTGCGCAGAGATTGGAGATATCACTAAATGCTCAGGTTTGGAGCTATCAACACTGACTGATCAGGGGGGTTGGGTTATCACAAAAGATTGTTCGGGGGTGGAACTATAACCACTGATTGCTCAGGGGTGGAGCTATCAGCACTGATTACACAGGGATGATGTACGTAAAGAGGACGGTAATTACAATAGTGAAGTACTGCAGCTTGTGGGGACTACTTATACTTGTGTAATTGTTCAAATCAATCCGGGTGTCACCATTAAGCCCCACCCCCAAACCTATTAAATGCCAGAAGACCCACTGAAGTCCTGGCATTTGATAGATGAGAATCAGGGGTGGGGCTTAGTGCTGAGAGGGGGCGGGGTTTAATCTCAACATAAGGAGAAATGGAGACACAGTCCAGCCTGACGCGGGGCCCCGGGGCTGCACAGGGTTCCATGTCAGGACTGCGCAGGGACTTTCAGGCAGAACTCCATCGCTGCGGCTTTAATAGACATGTTTTGGGGCCACAGCAGAGTCACTTTAAGGGGGTGCTTCGTCCCCGCAGGCCATCCACAACGAAATGAACTGCAAAGAGTACCAGGACGACCTGCGCATCCGAGCGCTGAACGACACCGCCGCCAGACAGACCAGCGACATGCTGAAGGTGAGGGTCATGTGACCTGCGGGGGTGGGCGGGGGCGGGGA